CGGGGAAGCGCGGGCCGGCGTGGGGGATGGGGCTGAGGCGAGGGGAGGGACCGCAGGGAGAGAGGGGAGCTCGCGGCGGCGGGAGGAGGGCGGCTTCCCCCACCTCCAGCGCCCTCCCTCCCCTCGCTCCTGGGCGTCACTAAAGTCCAGGAAAATTATGCTAATGAGGACAAACGGCTCTCACAAAGGGGCTCTCTCCCTAGGCTCTATTTCTTAGGAATCCGTTTGAGAAACCCCGTAACCCTCGGCCTTGGATGTTACGGGCTGTGGGACAAGGAGGAAAGCGAGAAGCAGAAATGAGTTCCCCAGACTTTGGGCAGCTTACTTCACCTGCCACTCCCGATCTTTGGGTTACTGGGATAGGGCCTTTCTCCAGAGACTTCCCCAAGAGCCAACTGGACTGTTGTTGGTTATCTTTTTAGGCAGAAACTAGTGACATCCTGGCAGCCAGGAGGGAAGTGTGCTGGGGGAGATGCGCGTTTGTCCCAGCAGTGAAACGAGCTCTCTGGACTAGGCACGAAGAAGGGTGCCTAGAACCCTGGGTCTCCAGGTCTCTTGTGCCCACTGCACAGCGTGGACACGCGGCTCGCCCATGGGAAGGACAGAGAAAGCTCTGACCCCAGCACAGGCAGACGATATTCCACCCTAATTAGTGGAGTGGCCTCGTTGAGCAAAGAAGAGGCCCGAGCTGTCCTGGCCATATGCCACAACTTTAAAGAGGACGGTATTCCTCCAAAAGCTCCCTCAGCTCCCAGGTTGTTGAATCAAACTCTGCAAGAGTACAAGTGAGGCCAGAAGAGAGAAAGGGCGCTTTCGTGCAATTCCAAGGCATCCACGGCGAGTCCTTCTCAAAGGAAGGTGTTAAAAATATAAGTAGTATGTTTAAACTGTCAGGGAGCCAAAGTGTCACGTTAGAGCAAAAACAAAGCCAGGGGGAAAGGGACAAATCAAAAAACACTTCGGGCCAGGGTGGCCTCATGCATACCAATGGTTTTTGTCATTTATGGCTGGGCAAGATTTATGACTCGGCGCCCCAAAGCTGTAAACAGCGCGCAAAACAGCAAACACTTGTTCCTTATGGCATATTGCGGCGGCACAACTTGAAAGGGGGAACTGGGCCGCGTAGGAGGTGAGAGCCAGCCGCAAAAATCCGCTGGGCGGCATTTTCTCTTCAAACCTGCCGGGTCGGATGTGGCATTTAAAGAAAGAAGGCGTGGGTCAATAATCAACCCGCACTTTCTCCTCCAAACTGCTGACGCGACTCTCACCGCCTTCTCAGCTAAGCCAGCTGCAGGGGAGGCCAGCTCTCCGTGAGAACCTGCCCCGGGGAAGGGATCGTCTGGGCGGAGGATACTCCAGCAAGGGCTGGGGCTCCCGGAGCGCATACCTTTCCAGAGCACCAAGACCAAGCCGCGCAAACTGTGGCGACTGGACCTGAGGAGCCGAGGAAGATCTGGACAGGAGCTCAGCTCGGCCCAGGCCTCAGCCCTCCCCCAACTAGGTAGCTTCTGGGCTTCGGCCCCACTGCTAGAAGTGGGGCTCAGACTTCCAGTCCAACGTCTGGTGTCCCGGCAGGAAGATTGCCGGTGCGCCTGCCTCATGACTGCTGAAATCCAAAGGACTGGCTTTGGAGCAACCGCAGACGAGATGATTAAAAATAATTTATAATGGCGGAAAGTTTTTGTTGGTTGGTTATTGTTTTTTTAAGAG